AAATTACTATAAGTGTTGGTCTGATCTGAAGAGTAATTTCAACGCCGGAATCAAACAAAAATGATTGCAAAACAATTAATATTCACGTCTATTATTATGACAGCAATGGATAAAGCAATTTATAAATTGCAACAACACTTTCAGTATATAATAAAGTTGAATATTTTTACCATTTATACCAATTTTTACGCAACGATGACATTTTATAACTATCTTGTTTGTTTCAATTTAAACAGTTAATGAATGAATGATTATATTGTTTAAATTATAATATTATATAAAATATTATTATAATTTATAATATGTATTATTCTGTTGTATTTGGAATATGAATAAATATAATGTGCATATTTTTGAGCTTAATATTAATTTTTTTTTATTAATTTCTGAATATGTATACAAAATTATCATTAGTTTACGCTTTAAAACTAATTATAAAATTATAATTATTCTAAATGATAAAGAAATTAAATGATAAACATTATGGTAATAATTAGATGTACATGTACAAATAAATGTACATGTACAAATATTTCTATCAACGATATACATGTATATAACATAATATTATAAATAGTATTTACATGAAATGTTCATTAGATTATTAAATAAAAACAAATTATGATAACATAATTAAGTAATATCTTAAGTTAAGATTCTTAACAGTAGTTTGCTTTAAAATTGTTATTTAATTTTAATATATAACAAATGCATAAATTAATCTTTACATCTAAATTGTTTATTAGAGAGATAAATGCTTATAATATTTCAATTCAATTATCCGGAAATTTGTTTTGTGGTAACTTTTCATAAGAAGTAATTAATGGATTTTAAAGAAATTTTGTGATATTAATGAGTATTTATTTGAGTTTAATTGTATGTGCTTGTATAGTTTTGATACTTATTGGTTGAGAAATGGGGAACATCTAGATACAATGATATCACAAGCAAATTTCCGAATAATTGAATGAAAACCATAATATAAGTTATGTAACATTTATATAAAAGTGCTATTTTATTATTTATAAAGAATAAAAATAACGATCGCTTTCCCACACTATTGTTAATAAAATTAATGATATTCTCATAAATGAATGAAAATTTCTAAATACTTTTAATAAATAAAATTATTATTAAAAATATTATTGCTAATAACATTTATATTAACATATTAAAATAAAACGGTAACTCAAAACTAGCGTACATTAAAGTAAACAGTATTTTATATACATTTATATCGAAATATTTGAGATAATGAATAGAAGATAACAATAGACTGAGAGGAAGAGTCCATTTCTTTCATGCCATCGCTTATATAACATTAAGTTTGCATCAAATGACTTAAACCAATACATATTCACTGATATCTATCATAGATATCATAGATAATCTATGTAAACAGAGAAATGAATGTTAAAAACTATTTATTTAACTCTTTTATTATGATATAAGTTGTGAATTAAGTCACGTCTTCACTATTGCCTATTGTATGATAGATAAGACAACACCACCGATGAGATAACAATACCATCACTTGTATGCACCTGAACCTGACCTCAATATACAGGAGCCCTAACCGCTACACCTATACCCGGATAACTCTTTTATCACACAATAATTACACAATAATTGAAAGTTTTGTCTCAATCGTGTAATCACTCATTAACTCTGCCGTATATTATACTGTATTACATGTAATCTCTTGAATAAACAAATCTCTATCTCTTAAAAAAAGTTAGGAATTGTTTTAAAAGTCAAAGTTTTGGTAATGCATTTGAACAGAATATGCGCCCTGAATGCCCTTGCTACTTTTGACTATCAATTATTGACACTAGTTGTGAAAAGCGAGTCAAATAGTGAAACAAAGTGATAATGTGTTAGTTTTTGGGATCAAATATACGGCCATATAATAGCCGAAGAGTACAGACTGTGCGGCGAATGGGTGTGTGTTATACTGAATAGCAATCAAACGGTAAGTTTTGTGTTATAATGTGTACGAGTTTTATGGCGTGTAGTCGTCGGCCATTGCTTTGGCAATGCATTCAATGCATTGAGTGTTGGGTTGTATTGAGTGAAACACAAACACACAATACATTGCATTACAAACACACTCTCACTCTCTCAGAGTCTCTCTGTCTCTCTCTTTCTCTGCCAAACATTTAATACATGTTTTGGTCGTCTCTTTAAATGCCGTCGAAATACAACTCTCGACACAACTATTAAAGCCTACAATCAATGCATCGATCGCTCACATCGTGTCCACTAAACCACAGGTAAGACCTATACGTGTGTATAGTCTGTAGCGATGGTTAGTTTGGATGATAATATGGGATCTGATTGTAGTCGACTGTGGTATACGTGACACGTCTTGTTGTGCTCTACTCTCACACCTATTATATGCAATGTTATGATTAGTATTGCATTCAAACTGCAAACCCATAGACAGAGCCTCGCGTTGAAAGTACACGGCTTTGGAGGCGAAACACCATTTCGGTTGTGATTTGCCATTAATTGCCATTCAATTACAGTCTCTATAATACCATTCATACCATTACTAAAACCACTACTCATTTGAATTGACGATTGATTTGTCGGATGTGTTGTATGTATTGATTGTGATTAGTATTTAGTCTGTATTTGTCTCATATCCTATGGTTATGGTTAACGCAAAAATGCAAATTCAATGCAAAAACTGTGTCTCAAATTGAGTTCACATTTGCATTGGTTTTGGAGGAAAACAAACAAAAAACTTGTTTTCGTTTAAATCGTCGCTTGAATTGAAGTTTTTTGTCTTTCATTTCAATCTCTCATTGAATTCAATACTGAATTTAACGCAAAACTCAATTCAAAACTCACTTTTCATTTGCAAACCCAATGCCGTTGTTTTGAAACGTTTTAATCGCTTATTATTTGTTGAGTTAATTATTGACTGATATTTAATTGCAATTCAATCAGAGCTTTATATTCGCAACAATTATCCAATTGTTTGAATGAATTAATTATATAATTAGCGAGAATTGACCGTTTATTTAGACCACGTTTTTCTGATCTCCTTATAAGTAAACCATTAATAAAATGCATTAAAACTGATTGCAATTTATATTAATTTTATTGTTTTTTGGTTTCGATTTTTAGGTCATTATTGGTATCGATTTGAAGACATTTTCTCCTCTAATCCATTGAATGCATGTTATGTTTGTCATTGAATCTGAAGCCATCAAACACTGAACAAAATCATTGATGAAAAACATGTATTTAAAATTGATGTCGTTTTCAGCTCATTGTCTTCACTTCAACACAATATTAAGTCATTTGAGTTGAGAATTAGTGTTTCCAAAGAAGTGAAACAACTATTTAAGTAATTAATTAAATTAATTGATATTTAAGTAACGAAATAGAAAAGTGTCGCTAAAAGAGACGTTAAAACTCATTAAGTGTTCAATAATTGCACAAAAATATACNCAATTCAATTTTCCAATGAATAATGTATTCAAATTATGTGTGAAAATCAAATATTGAATTAAAAATCGGTTGAAATCTTATTATTATATAGTTTTAGATTTATTATTGATTTTATTATAATTTATATATAATTTGTATATAATTTAAAGTTCAAAACTGTTTTAAACGATTGTATTAAAGATATAAATAATAAATTGCTGTCAAATATTGAACTAATTATTGTTTTTCACAAATTCTTTTATTTAAACAAATGATAGCTTTTTGTGGTGACAATCAATTCAATACATCAATCAGTGGTCAAAGAGATGTCTGATTAGATCAGAAACAGACGAAAAGAGTAATCAATTTATTGGACAAAATAGCAGTGTTTTGTTATTCAAATGTAAAGTTATAGTTAGTATTGATTTAGTAATTAATTTGAGTGTTAAGTATATAATAAAACCCGGAATTCAAGTGTCAATCGAAAGAGAGATATCGCCTTTTAGTAGAATAAATGTTTTTGTTGTAAAGTATTGTAATTTTCGTGAATTATAACAAATGTTTGCTATTATAGTGACAAAAAGATAAGTTTATCATAATTTAAATCACTGTTTAATTAGTATTTCATTTAATTTTAAGAACACTTTCTGAATAAAATGTGTAGACTTTGAATGAGAAATGAAAAACTCAAAGCCATTCCCCATCAGCTCTTATGTTAAAGATCTCATCAATGAATTAATTATTGAGAAAAATCTGATTAATATATTCGTTATGTATATTACAAAGAATTTTCTGAATTTTATTTAATGACAAAAACTTCAAAGAGTTATATAATAATAATGTTTTAGAAATGCTTTACTTTTATAATCTTTTACTAAAATTTGATTAACAAACCAAAGAAGTGAAAGCAAAATGAAATAAATATAAATAGTTTCTGAAAAAAACACAAATAATTGTCTAATAATTGAATTCAAATTTAAAGAAATAGTTGAGAGAAATATGGATACAGTGTATAATTTAACTAAAATATATGTGGATTTAATTACAAATATATTTATGTATATATAGTTTCACAAAACAAATTAAACATTTATTTAATGGATATTTTGATTGTGAATAGAATTTGCATGTTTTGAGAGCAGTCTATAAATAATATTATAATACCTTTAAAACAATGCCAACAAAACAGAAAATATGTGATATTTTGTGGCAAAATCTACATAAAGAGTGAAACAAATTCGCTAATGAAATGAAATTAATCTAAACGTAAATATATAGACAAAAAATATATGAATATATGAACATCTGATAGAAAATGTATACAATTTGTTAATTTTTAGTTGTTTTTGTGAAACAATTATAGATGAGATCAAAACAACAAAATAAATGAAAACGAATGCACAGACAAAGAGGTGTCACTTCTTGGAGGTGTTGGACGAGAAGAGTTCGGGTCTGGGCTTATCTGGCGGTGGGGTTTGAAACAGAGTTTTGTTTAACTCTTTGGGATCTTCGGGCGCTTTCCATGTGTTGGTAATCGACACAAAGGGAACCCATTTGTCTTCGGTGGAGGACTGGACGACAATCGCGAACTCAAAGTCTCCGCCGACGGGCTCTTCGCTGTCATTCACTTTTGATTGGGTCTTGAATTTAACAATATTTATGACTTTGTTTTTCTCTGCTCTACAGTTAACGTATGAACCGTACAAATAGATCACAATCTTTGGTTCATTTACAACAATTCCGCTGAAGAAGAAAAAACACAATTAATAACAATTTCATACAAAACTTGAGAAAACAGCGATTAATTTGATAATTACTTGGACTTAGAAGTGGACGCCTGACAGACATCATCGATGTTGGCGTCGGTGGCGATCAGTTTCATTAGCTTTTGATCGTTCACTTCCATGTCTTCCCGGAACACGATTTTGAGGGACAAATAGTTAGCGCCGTATACTGTGTCCGACTCGAGCTCTTTAGTCGATATCTTCGGCACAAATGGCGACACAAATATGTCTTCGCAAACGGAACAGCTGGGAGAGCGCGGAGGATGCACTCGAGTGCAGGGCAGCGGTTCCTCCGAATTGAATGTCGACGGATAGACCTTTTGTTTGTTGAACAGGAGTTTTCGTTTCACTTCGGATCCGTTGTTCAATGTCTTCAGTCGATTCATCATTGCTGTGAAGGGAGAGAAGCGTTTGTTCGGCGACGGCGTCACCGGTTTGGGTGTACTCCTGCGGGGTCTGAGCCGCCGAGCGGGTCCGTCCGCGTCTGCCGACTCGCCCTCTTTGGACTCGTCTTTGCAGCCATTCTTCGTCTCATCCCTCGTCTTGCAGTCGGAGTTTCTTTCGGTCTTCAGTTGCTTTCGATTGGACTCGTCTTTTGGCGATTGAAATACCGGCGAAAGACAGCGCACTTGCGATCGGGTTTGGGTCTGGGGTTGGGTTTGGATTTGTGAAGACATTCTTGTGGTATATTTTTGTGCAATTATTGAACACTTAATGAGTTTTAACGTCTCTTTTAGCGACACTTTTCTATTTCGTTACTTAAATATCAATTAATTTAATTAATTACTTAAATAGTTGTTTCACTTCTTTGCAAAATGAAACACTAATTCTCAACTCAAATGACTTAATATTGTGTTTAAGTGAAGACAATGAGCTGAAAACGACATCAATTTTAAATACATGTTTTTCATCAATGATTTTGTTCAGTGTTTGATGGCTTCAAATTCAATGACAAACATAACATGCATTCAATGGATTAGAGGAGAAAATGTCTTCAAATCGATACCAATAATGACCTAAAAATCGAAACCAAAAAACAATAAAATTAATATAAATTGCAATCAGTTTTGAATGCATTTTATTAATGGTTTACTTATAAGGAGATCAGAAAAACGTGGTCTAAATAAACGGTCACTTCTCGCTAATTATATAATTAATTGATTCAAACAATTGGATAATTGTTGTGAATATAAAGCTATGATTGAAATGCAATTAAATATCAGTCAATAATTAACTCAACAAATAATAAGCGATTAAAATGTTTCAAAACAACGGCATTGGGTTTGCAAATGAAAAGTGAGTTTTGAATTGAGTTTTGCGTTAAATTCAGTATTGAATTCAATGAGAGATTGAAATGCAAGACAAAAAACTTCAATTCAAGCGACGATTTAAACGAAAACAAGTTTTAGTTTGTTTTCCTCCAAAACCAATGCAAATGTGAACTCAATTTTAGACACAGTTTTTGCATTGAATTTGCATTTTTGCGTTAACCCAAGATATGAGACAAATACAGACTAAATACTAATCACAATCAATACATACAACACATCCGACAAATCAATCGTCAATTCAAATGAGTAGTGGTTTTAGTAATCGTATGAATGGTATTATAAACTGTAATTGAATGGCAATTAATGGCAAATCACAACCGAAATGGTGTTTCGCCTCCAAAGCCGTGTACTTTCAATGCAAGGCTCTGTCTATGGGTTTGCAGTTTGAATGCAATACTAATCATAACATTATAATAGGTGTGAGAGTAGAGCACAACAAGACGTGTCACGTATACCACAGTCGACTACAATCAGATCCCATACTATCATCGAAACTAACCATCGCTACAGACTATACACACGTATAGGTCTTACCTGTGGTTTAGTGGACACGATGTGAGCGATCGATGCATTGATTGTAGGCTTTAATAGTTGTGTCGAGAGTTGTATTTCGACGGCATTTAAAGAGACGACCAAAACATGTATTAAATGTTTGGCAGAGAAAGAGAGAGACAGAGAGACTGTGAGAGAGAGTGAGAGTGTGTCTGTAATGCAATGTATTGTGTGTTTGTGTTTCACTCAATACAACCCAACACTCAATACCATTGAATGCATTGCCAAAGCAATGGCCGACGACTACACGCCATAAAACTCGTACACATTATAACACAAAACTTACCGTTTGATTGCTATTCAGTATAACACACACCCATTCGCCAAACAGTCCGTACTCTTCGGCTATTATATGGCCGTATATTTGATCCCAAAAACTAACACATTATCACTATTTGACTCGCTTTTCATAAATAGTGCTAATAATTGATAGTGAAAAGTAGCAAGGGCATGAAAGGGCGCATATTCTCTTCAAATGCATCAAAACTTTGACTTTTCAAACAATTCCTAACTTTTTTTTAAAGAGAGAGATTTGTTTATTCAAGAGATTACATGTAATGCAGTATAATATACGGTAGAGTTAATGAGTGATTACACGATTGAGACAAAACTTTCAATTATTACATTGTTATGTGATTATTGTGTGATAAAAGAGTTATCCGGGTATAGGTGTAGCCGATAGGACTCCTGTATATTGAGGTCAGGTTCAGGTGCATACAAGTGATGGTATTGTTATCTCATCGGTGGTGTTGTCTTATCTATCATACAATAGGCAATAGTGAAGACGTGACTTAATTCACAACTTATATCATAATAAAAGAGTTAAATAAATAGTTTTTAACATTCATTTCTCTGTTTACATAGATATCAGTGAATATGTATTGGTTTAAGTCATTTGATGCAAACTTAATGTTATATAAGCGATGGCATGAAAGAAGTGGACTCTTCCTCTCAGTCTATTGTTATCTTCTATTCATTATCTCAAATATTTCGATATAAATGTGTATAAAATACTGTTTACTTTAATGTACGCTAGTTTTGAGTTACCGTTTTATTTTAATGTTAATATAAATGTTATTAGCAATAATATTTTTAATAATAATTTTATTTATTAAAAGTATTTAGAAATTTTCATTCATTTGTGAGAATATCATTAATTTTATTAACAATAGTGTGGGAAACCGATCGTTATTTTTATTCTTTATAAATAATAAAATAGCACTTTTATATAAATGTTATACAGTCTATCCCGGTTATAAGCCAATCGATCAGTGCATTCAATATTATTCTCTTATTACCGGGTTTACCTTATACCCGGGTTTATATTAGTTGACATTTTACCACAAAAAACAATTACCTTTGATACACAATACAGTAATTAACTCAATCACAAAAAACACTAATTTATACGACAATACAATGCTTTAAAAAATGAATTTTAATACACTTTTACATTAATACCTCTGTTTTTAGGGATAAAATACAAATAATTGCATCAATGTTTAAAACACATGACTTGAAATACAGTATTTACCCTAAATTCGCTTATATGTGGGTCTACTTAACATTATGTGTGCATAACTTATTGTATCTTATAACCGGGATTCGCTTATTAGTGATTAGTTTATTAGTGGGTTTATAACATTAAAGGTCCATAGGAGCTGCCGGTGCAGCAAAAATATCAGCCTATTACCGGGGTTAGCTTATATCCCGTTAGCCTATAACCGGTATAGACTGTATAATATAACTTATATTATTGTTTCCATTCAATTATCCCAAAATTTGTTTGTGTCTAGATGTCCCCCATTTTTTAACCAATAAGTATCCAAACTATACAAGCACATTTAAACAAGCACATACAATTAAACTCAAATAAATACTCATTCACATAACATTTTTAAAAAAATCTATTAATTACTTTTTATGAAAAGTTATCACAAAACAAATGTCCGGACAATTGAATGGAAACATTATAAGCACTTATCTCTCTAATAAACAATTTAGATGTAAAGATTAATTTATGCATTTGTTATATTAAAATTAAATGACAATTTTAGAGCAAATTACTGTTAAGTTATTACTTACTTATGTTATCATAATTTGTTTTTATTTAATAATCTAATGAACATTTTATTGAAATATTATTTATATACATGTAAAGTATATCGTTCATAGAAATGTTCGTACATGTATATTTATCAGCAATATTTTGCAAATAATTATCACCAGAATGTTTATAATTTAATTTCTTTATTATTTAGAATAATTATAATTTTCTGATTAATTTTAAAGTTTAAACTAATAATAATTTTGTATACATATACAGAAAGTAATAAAAAATTAACATTAAGCTCAAAAATGTCCACAATATTTATTCATATTCCAAATACAACAGAATAATACATGATTTTAATTACCAAGATAGTTATAAAATGTCATCGTTGCGTAAAAATTGGTATAAATTGTAAAAATATTCAACTTTATTATATACTGAAAGTGTTGTTGCGATTTATAAATTGCTTTATCCATTGCTGTCATAATAATAGACGTGAATATTAATTGTTTTGCAATCATTTTTGTTTGATTCCGGCGTTGAAATTACTCTTCAGATCAGACCAACACTTATAGTAATTTTCATCCAACGTTTGACATGATCTCAAACCCCATTCAGTGGTCACTAAACTCAGGGAACTCTCAAACATAAATGCCTTTAGATATAAGAAACCAAAAGATTTATAAATAGATATTAAAACAAACAATAATGCCATAAAATGCAAACCATAGTCCCGTCGGCCACTCGCTGTGGTTTAAGCTCATCATTGGTCGCCTTCTGGAAGCACTGGAAGTCCGGTCCGTGTGGTGTCATCATAGAGTGAAGACTGGCTCCGCCGGGTCTAAAGCCACCCTCCTTTGCCTCATACGTGCCGTGAATAAGACCCATGAATTCACTCATACAGTTTCGATGATAATACGGCGGTCGGAACGTGTGGTCAGACACTCCCCAACGCGGCGGGAATATTACAAAGTCGGCGATCGCAACGCCCGGTTTGTCCGACGGACACGTCAGGACTGTGAAGATGGATGGATCCTATGGACACATCATTCAAATCATCATTTGATTACAATATATGGTAATTAAGAAATGCTTGTATGTATGACAGACCGCGTGATCGAAAGAGACTGAGTTAATGACCATAAAAGTGGACAAATCGTATTTATAGGGCACATAGTTTCCGGTCCACGAGACCACGTCGTAAGGGCTGTGCGGCTGTTGTGCCGCAAATAACTTTCCCATAAACTTATTGATCACTTTATAGTCGCCGAGTCTGTCCTCGTAGTGAGCGGTGGGCGTCAAGAAGTCTCTGGGATTCGCCAAACCATTGGCTCCGATGGGACCTAAATTTGGCAAAACAAAGTGATTGTCGTACACTTCCAGGACATAACCCCTGGAGGGCTGCTCGACGTCCACCGAGAACTTCATGCCCTGTTGGACAACACATATTTCGTTGGGTTTCACTTGCATTCGTCCGAATTCTGTAGTAATCAAGAGATTCCCGATTTGCGGGACAATCAGAAAGTCTCCGTCAGAGTTGTAAAAACATTTGTCATTCATTGAAGCGTTGATGGCGTAAATGTGAACAGCGATGCCGTTGCGAGCCCTGGGATCTCCGGCGCCGCATATGGTGTTCAATCCGTCGACAAAGTCTACACTATTTTCCGGTAATTTAAATGGATTCCAACGTAACTGATTGGGTGTCGGCTCTATTTGATCCCAATTTGATGTCAGATTACTCCCGGAGTATGGTTTGAATGGGCTGTGAATAACTGATGGTCGGATCCGATAGAGCCAACTATTGTGTCGCAACAACTTTATAAGAAATGAAACTTTTGTTTAGATGACAGTCACTTACGTCCGCTTATTTTGATCCCTGGGAGCTGTGAATGCAGTTCCGGACAATTGTTCCGCATATAAGCCGTACGGACAGACTTGTGGCGACAGCTTTAGCACAAAATTAGTTTTTGAAAGTTTGCTAAATATTCACAATTATTTGACAAATACCTGTCCTTTAGGCAGAGAGTTCGGACACCTTTCGTCTTCACTGACAAATTCATTGCCAAAACCCGACAAATACTAAAATTAATATTTAATAATTGTTTAGTAACTTTAATTTATTTAAAAACTATTTACTTTTAACTTTGTTTCAATATTTCCATTCATTGTAAGTTCTAGTTAAGTTTGATTTTTATATAACGCAAAACAAATTATATGTCGTTCTTGTGATAAACAGATTTTATTATTAAGTAAATCGCGAGGAATTCACTGCTATTTAAAGCCAATCAATTATTTAGAGAAAAAACAAGTTTAGAAACAGAATTTAATTGAAAGTGATTTTTAGAAAGTTATATGTTTTGAATTCAAAATCGTTTTGAGAAAAATTATCATAAAACTAGTATAATATGTTGAGTGACCTGAATATCAGCTCATATTATCGCTGTAAATATCATTTAATTCCAGCCAATAGTTAGCCGAGGCTTCAGATTTTGTGACGAGATTTAACTGTCAATTCTTAGAGTATAGACAGGGAGGGCAGGTATCCTAAGGAATGTTGTCGTCATTACTATATTTGTTGTTTTTGACAATTAAATAAAAAGTAGTCATTTTAACTCATTTGAATTTGATTTACATTTTACGATTGCAATCGTCAATCGGTAATTAAAATTATGTAAAATTTATAATAAATATGTTTAAAATGAGATAAATCATGAAAACCTATACATGAATTCATAAAATATCATTGATAGTTCAAGTTTAGTACAATTTTTTGTTTACATGCAATTTTGTATAAATGCATACTAAATAAGTCTTCTAACTTGTAAGATAACTCGTGGTAAACATACTGCGTTTACTGTAATGCAATATTTATCTCATAATTATTATTTAATTATCATTAATATATTTAAAGTAGACTCAACGTTGTCAACAGTGTTGATATTTTTGGAATTAACAAGTTTTTAAGTAATCTTTAAAATACCCTTACGTTATAAGAATAGTGTAATCGAGTATTTCGCAAGCATTACTTGGAAGTGTCCCTGAGCTTGACATTGAGGGCTAACCGCTTATACGTTTCATAAAATCCCAACCATTGATCGTAAAGATTGCAATAAAACGCGTTATAAAACACGTTATAATTCAAATCATGCGTTGAATTCAATTTAAGTACGAAAACAAAGTGGAGACAAAATATTTGGCATTTACTTTAGTTTTACATAAATTTAATAATAAATTACAATTAGACGCTAATATAATTGGTTCATATATTCAATTAATTAGTTATTTAAAACATGCGTTCGTTGAAAATGATAGCAAATAAAAAATATTATATAGACTTTATGGGCAAATATACAATCGGTTTAAGTATTCATTAAATCGAAAGCCTCTAAATTCAGAGCACTTTCGTCGAGGAGTTCAGATGAAGGCGTTGTCAGAGACGTTGTGGTGAACAGCGAAGCGGTGTTTGTGTCCAGCAGTGAATGCATGGACTCGTATGACGAGGTGTTGTTCACCGGAGACTCCAGTATAGAGTCAAACGGCAGTTCTGTCTGCGAATTGAGACCGAAATCGTTATAATTGTCTTCATTTAAATGCGCTTTCAATGGACAGTAAGAATCTAATGATTGGTTCTCTTTTGGTTCCGAAGTCATGAATGGATTCAATTCGTGAGACGTCGACCCGTTTGATGTGACCGACGCTTCCGTCGCGTCCAGCGTTTGTGTCGTGTCTAATGTGTTGTCTATATTACAGGATATGTGTGTACTGTCAGCGCTATTGTCTTCCATCTCGTCGTCATCACTCAATTGGACCACTTCTGGAGGATGTGATACCGTAGACGACACCCGTGAATGAGATGGTGACGCGTAGTGAACAGTTCCTCCACAGCCGAGATTTGGTTGTAATATCTATTGTTTTCCATAAATCAAATGATTAGACATTTTTAAAAACGAAATCAATTTTCAAGACTTACTCCAAAGGAATCGTTATTAGAAATGGGTATAAATGAAGGCAAAGCCTGTGAAGGAAAGCCCGAATTGGTGTTCTTAATGGATATAATATTGCCTTCACTTGTCCTCAAATATAGGCCTTTCTGTGTCTGAATGACCATAACTTCTTCGCCCTTTTTAATACTGATTTTACTGTTGGGACCGACGCTTATGTTCAGGTCGTTAGGGATGCGAACCTTTTTCACGGAATTTCCATTTCGGACGAGTGTTTCGGCAATGGATTCAAAATTGGGGAATTGAGTCGAGGGCTGACCTCTGGGCGGCGGTGGGTATGGAGGCAATGGTTGCGATACATCGGGGTATGAGTTCATGCCGTTACCAAACATACCAAAGGGAGAATTTGGTGTCATTTGAGAGGGGAGTAAAGGACTCGACATATTATAAGGCAAACCGCCGCCAAAACCGGTACCAAAAGGATTGGCGAAACTTCGAGGAGTGACTGGAGGTCTGAGCATATTATAGGGCGACGAGACGTCAAAATGATTGCCTTTCATGCGTTTGGCCTCATTGTAGTTCCCGAACGCTATCCTCTTCTCAGCCGAACTCAACCTCTTCTCCTTCCGGTCCAATAGAAGCGACTCGTGTTCAAAGGGTAGTCGTGTTATCGTATGATTTTGTGACACCAGAAGCCGACGAACCAACTCGTCGTTGAATTTAGACAATTGCTGTTCGCTGTAGACCTGAACGGGTGGCTCTTGAATCTCATGCAAGTCGTCCAACAGTGAGTGAATCTCTCTCCACGTGAAGTTGGCCTCAATGTTCTGCTCGTCCACCACTCGGTTAGCCATTCCCTGTTTGTTCACCTGTCGGTCGTAGATCTTCTTCTCCAGTGAGTTGTCGCACACCAAACGGTATATATAACACGGCTTTGGCTGTAATTTAGGCATAAATACATCAATAATCTATTAAAAAAAGGTCAGAAAGTGTGTAATACCTGTCCGTATCTATATATACGACAGGCCGCCTGTGCGTCGTGACAGGGGTTCCAACTGGCGTCGAATATGACAATACGATTGGCGCCAATCAGGTTAATACCCAAACTGCTGAGTGACTGGAGGTCTGAGCATATTATAGGGCGACGAGACGTCAAAATGATTGCCTTTCATGCGTTTGGCCTCATTGTAGTTCCCGAACGCTATCCTCTTCTCAGCCGAACTCAACCTCTTCTCCTTCCGGTCCAATAGAAGCGACTCGTGTTCAAAGGGTAGTCGTGTTATCGTATGATTTTGTGACACCAAAAGCCGACGAACCAACTCGTCGTTGAATTTAGACAATTGCTGTTCGCTGTAGACCTGAACGGGCGGCTCTTGAATCTCATGCAAGTCGTCCAACAGTGAGTGTATTTCTCTCCACGTGAAGTTGGCCTCAATGTTCTGCTCGTCCACCACTCGGTTAGCCATTCCTTGTTTGTTCACCTGTCGGTCGTAGATCTTCTTCTCCAGCGAGTTGTCGCACACCAAACGGTAGATATAACACGGCTTTGGCTGTAATTTAAGCACAAAAACATCAATAATCTATTACAAAAGGACAGAAAGTGTGTAATACCTGTCCGTATCTATATATACGACAGGCCGCCTGTGCGTCGTGACAGGGGTTCCAACTGGCGTCGAATATGACAATACGATTGGCGCCAATCAGGTTAATACCCAAACTGCCCGCTCGGGTCGATATGAGGAACAGATGCGCGTCTTTCGTGTTATTAAATAAATTAATATATCGTTCCCTTTCGTGAGGAGAAGTCGAGCCGTCCAACCGATAGTACGTATCGTTTTTAGACCATTTGATTCGCGTCTTTGGCACGTCTTGTGACTGAAGAAAGCGCTCGATTAGGTCTAACGTCATCAACGATTGACTGAAGACCAGCAACCGGTCGCCCAACGAAATGCATTCGCGTATGATTTCAAACAATAAAACTATTTTATAAGAATTTTCTAATACACCCACAGAATAGCCGTGGAGTTTGGGCTCAGCCCACGAATAGTCGATCACTCCATCGCTTCGATTACGTAATGGAGTACTGAACAGATTAGTCATAAGAGTTGAGTATGGATTGGGTGGCGGCAAGTGGTCGCCCGTCTTTGAATTGGTTGTTGGAACCGCTAATTCGTTGTTTGACTGCTTTCTACTGTTATTCTTCGCTAATTTTTTAGTGTTATTATTATTCTTCTTATTGGTCGGTATATCTAAGTCGAGATCCTCTGATGTGATGCCTTTGCGGACAATGTCGTAGACAATGTCCGGATGATTCCAGATCTTACAGCACACGGCGAACAGCGTTAGCGTCGAGATCCGGCCCTTCACTGTTCCGATGGCGTCCGGATCGTTGATAGCGGTGTCCAGAAACGCCAGCATCAGATCCTTTTGCAGTGCAGTCATGCGACACATCAACACATACTCCTGTTTGGCTGGAAGTGCTTTCTGAAGGACTGAATGACTTCGACTAAAGTGGGGAAAAACAATTTTCAATCATTCAAAATAATAAATCCGTCGCAAAACCGCTGGTTCTTTGACATACCGTTGAACAAAGCCTTTGAGCAACTGATACAACACATGTGCCCTGTATTTCATGATCTGTCGATCGTATGGCGTCGAGTCTATACACTGGCCGTTAGTGATGGGGCGCTCAAACATATTGGTGAACTCGCCCTTAAGGCCGAGATAGTTGGGACGGACGAAGTCAATCATACACCAGTACTCCATCAGCTTATTCTGCAGCGGATATCCCGTCAACACTATGCGGCGCTTTGTCTTAATGTTCTTCAGCGCCTGACTGGTGGCTGCGTTGCAATTCTTGATGCGATGGCCCTCATCGCACACCACCAGATCGGGTCCCGGATCTATTAGCGACGCCTTCACTTCCGCGTTAATGTTGTCCAATATCTTGGGGTCGATGTCCTCGTCCTTCTTGGACTTCGCCTTATTATCTAACGTCAATATGCGGTACATTTCGTAGCCCATCAACAGTACTCCTCCGTAATTACGCCACTTGAGTATCTCTTTAGCTCTGGCTGTCATACATTTGATGCTATCGTTAATAGCGAACACTTTGAACGTCCTGTACGTGACCTTTTCGCCCGTCGGCTTAAAGTACTTGTTGAGAGTCCCCTCTTCTGGTGACCACATATTGAACTCTGAGATCCAGTTCTGGAGAGTATTGATCGGAACTATACATAACACGTGTTTGGCGTCCGTATGGTTCAGAAACACGTCGATAAACGAAATCACCTGAAGTTTTAAACAAACGGTCAGTATTTACACCAAGACATTGCAATGTGTGTGTTATGCGAGAAAGTGATGCAAACCTGCATTGTTTTGCCCAAACCCATAGAATGAGATAAAATACACCCAAAACCCGCAGATTTCTTATGTCTATCAAGTGATTCAATAACGTTGTCGTATAGGAAGCGAATGCCACCGATTTGGTGCGGTTTCACCGATCGTGTGATCTGTGGGGCCAGGAATATGTCCGGGTCTTGGGGCGGATGCCCCACATTGACCAGCACTCGGCCCTCGGCGTCGCACGTGTTCAGCGTGTCGTCCGTATGAGAGCCGCAGTTATTCACGTCTTCTTCACGACTCTCGCCGTTATAGCTGTCGATGTTGTCAATGATGGCCACGTCGTCCTCGTCGTGAGCGCCGACCATATTATAGTCTAAATTAATGCCACTATTCCTGTAGTTGGAAAAGCCATTAATGGGCGCCGCGGCCTCCTCTTCACCGGATGACAGATCTATCACTTCCATTGACATCGGTTTCACCCCATTTGATGGCATTTGTTGCTTAAGAGCGCTTCTCTTCTTCTCCTCCTCTTCATCGCTGCTAAGAAGCACTTCGTCTGGAATTTCGGCAAATCTTATAAATAAAACAAAAATAATTAGTTTTATATAAAATTTACAAAATTTTATCAAACCTTTGAGAAAAGATATCGTTATTTAAGTTAAGGTTTTGTTGTTGTGTCTGAAACTCTTGCCATCTCTGAGCCGAGCGTTCTCTCTGTCGTTGGATGCGTTCCTCCTCTTCCTTTCGGGCCAATTGTGTCTCTTTGTCTAATTCCGAAAGTCAGTCATAACTGAAATATAAGAAGGACTCGCAGCCTAAGCACCTGAAGAAAAAGAAGAAGTTGAAGAAGAGGAAACCCCACAAAAATCAGAAAAAGAAGCTGAAATGAAATCACAGTCATTTGGGCGACTGATTGTCTTCATTGAGATCATCTTCTTCTTCGTCGTCGCCGTCCTCTTCGCTGCCATCGAAGGGATCGAACGAACGCTTTGATCCCTTTGGGACGGATATGTCCTCCTCTTCGTCGCCGACATCGTCTTCGGCCTCATCTCCCACTTCGTCGTCGTCTCCGTTCTCAACGTTGGACACGACGTCGTCGTCCTCTTCGGGTTTGCTGTCATTGCTTTGTTCGCCAATCGGTTTGTCCAACAAGTCGTTCAGCATTTTGTTACCATTGAATGATATCTTGTCTGTTGTGTCAAACTCTTCGGCCTCGGAAATCAATTTCTCCAATTCTCTCAACCCATCCATGGGATCGGCGTCTTTGGCCGTCGACGAGGTTGTGGTCATCGATGGCGGGTCTGTCGCCGACTCGGAGGACATATCGTACGGCAAAACACAACACAAAAACTAAATATAGTTAACGAAAAGTGATTGAAAAAAGCGATGCAAACAATCTTATGGACCAATCAATGACTTCATCTCAATCTGGCATTCATTGAGCGATGGCTTGACTGACATTCGTCGCGGAGACCAACTCTTCGGACACCCGTTTTGGCCGCACTTTCGATGATATGATGTTTATTGTGGACCAAACAAATCGGACGATCAGTTGTGTCAACACAAATGGTCTACAAATTAGTGGCAAAAATCACACACTCTTTGTATGCAATCGTTTGCTGTAATACTGTATTACATATCAAACACTCATTCAATGCACTCATCAATGACTGCATTTGGGGTACAATTGGCTCCACTTTCGCACACTTTGTAGTCATTTAGCGCTCATTTCAGTGCACTTTTGTCACACACTCTGCGCCTAAAGGGGACTGAAATGCGAGCAAAACGTTATTTATTGTCAAATGAATTGTTTTGACGCAAAGAAATAGTTTTATTTGTATTGAAAATAAAGTGTAATTTAAATCTGTTTTCAAATGTAATGTAGTTTTCAATGAATTAATTAAATGTAAACATTAATTGAAAAATTGAAAACTTTATCAACCATTAGATTAGTATTGATTTGATTTCAATGTCTTTTCAATCATAATATTTATACTAAATGTCAGCCAATTATGCAAACGGATTGTCAGACTATGAAGACAAAGGCGTTTGTGGTCTACAAGAAGTACTTCCAGTCCACGTCTGAAGACATCATTACTCCTGTTATTCATACCATTTGTTTTGTCTTTTATCGCAGATCTTTGAACCGCCCGAAGAGGTTGAGTCCAAAGTGGAGTTACTGTCCAAATGGTTGATCCAATCCAAGTGTGTAGTCGTGTATTGCGGCGCCGGAATCAGTACTTCCGTAGGAATTCCCGATTTTCGGTAATTAATTTTGGCCGCAAATGTGTGCCAAACATACGCCCAATAACTATATGTTTGACAATGTATTTGGTGTGCAATCAGTGGTCCGAATGGTATTTGGACTCAAGAGGAGAAACAGAAGAAAGGAGTGAAAGTCGAAGACGAGGTCAAGATTCTTGAGCTATCGCTGGCCGACTGTAACCCAAGCGTAACACATATGGCGTTAATATCGCTAATTAAGTCGAAATACGTTAAATTCATTGTGAGTCAGAATATCGACGGACTGTTTCTGAGGGCAAACCTCCGGCGGCGACATATCGGCGAACTTCACGGCAACTTCTTCTTAGACGAGTGCACGGCCTGTAACTCGCGATTCATTCGGTCGACGCCCAGCCCTACGATGGGCTGCAAAGTGTCGGACACNGGGCAAACCTCCGGCGGCGACATATCGGCGAACTTCACGGCAACTTCTTCTTAGACGAGTGCACGGCCTGTAACTCGCGATTCATTCGGTCGACGCCCAGCCCTACGATGGGCTGCAAAGTGTCGGACACCAAATGCTACCGTAAGGCGAGGCCGTGTCGGGGCTTCATTCGGGACACAATTCTCGACTGGGATCAGGATTTGCCGCGCAATGAACTTCGTTGGGCCGACAAGTACTCCCGTGAGTGCGATTTGGCCATCTGTTTGGGCACAACCCTTCAGATAGAACCGGCGGGTTCTCTGCCTTTCCTCACTAAGAAAGTCAATTCGGGTCGCGTTGTGATCGTTAACCTCCAACCGACCAAATTTGATCCCAAAGCAGATCTTGTAATCCATGACTACGTCGACAACGTTATGACTCTTCTCTGCAAAACGCTTGACGTAAAGCTGGAGACATACGACCCCTCGTCGGACCCGATAAAGACCAGACCGTCGATGGAATGGCGCCGATAAATGACACTCTCGTACATGTATTTTACAGTACAATAAGTCTATCAAATTTTAAGAGTTTAGATCTAAATTACACGACATTTATATACATTTTTAAGAACTCGTGATTTAACTTAATTTCAGACAAATGTAATACACTATGAATTTTAATTTTATATTTTGATTTTATTTCACTCAAGAGATGATTGTATTAGATTTTAAGTATATAATGAAATGCCTATCATTTAATATCTTTAACAATATCTATATTTACATTGAATTATTAAAAGAGCACTCGTTTTAAGCAAAAGTGTAAATATTATTGTATTGTTTTTAAATTAAAATAAATTTGTTTTTGAATTAATTTTACAATTTATACATTAAATTTAAGAGATTTAATATCGGTTTCTTAGGATTACATAGTATTTATAGTAATCCGATGGTTACTACTATATTAACCAAGTATTAAATTATAATCTCTATGGTTATCAATAATAAAAACAATGTTTTAATCACTTTCTCTACAGAATTGTTTGAGTGAAATGACAGATCAGTTTTCACAATGAATTAGCAAATATTTAACATTGATTTTTGTTTGAAAAAACATGTCAATTGTTTTCATAACAATTTGAAATGAATTCGCAATCAATTTCATATCAAAACACATTGACTGTGAAGAGAAGCAAACTTTTAGCGGAAACTAAAAACTTCAAAAACAATATCAAAAGTTTTGAATGAGATTTTAGGGGCAAAAAAGTTTTGAATGAATGAATGCGTGAACTGTAAGAATACACACAAAACATGTGACACAACAGCAAAGCATTGCGTGAAAGGCATTGACTCCCAATTGATTAGGCATTCACTGCACGTGTGATCACATCTCAGACCTCGTGATGGCCACCGATTTGCGTCAAGAGCTGATCCAATACTTACAGCCACTCATTGATAAGCGTGTGGCCGAAGGCAAACCCGTGCGGACCGTCCATCTGAACGGCTGTGTCGGCCAATACACGCCGTTTAAGGATTGGCTGCTCAACAACTATGACCTCAAACAGGGATCAGATCTGAAGCAAAAGTTGTTGAGTTTTATTTACGACAACACCGAGTACTTCACGTACGACCCGCAGACCGGATCCGTTGCCAACAATCAGTACTTTGACGACAAAAATGAGCCCAAAGTGGACACGAATGGCGAGTCGAGACCCGGACTCATAAAACCAAAGATTTTGATCGATCTGGAGATCAGCCACTCGTTGGACACGTTTGACAATAATCTGACACTCTTTGAGTTAATTGTGTTCATATATCTGGAGGTATCGGTCAAAGCGGTGACCATAACTGATTTGATTGAATCCATTGAATGCAAGTTTGGCCAACATTTGCAATACTATAAGACACGGATTGGTTTCGAGGATCAGCTGAAGAACACAGAGGCGGACCAATTGGATTTGAATTTTAATAATGAGAACGTGGTGTTGTTTTTGGTGAACCAATTGAGTCCATTCTTCCACTTTGATTTGTTTCAAAGAACTCTAACCATAAACACAATGGAAGTACAAATGTCTCAATTGTCCGACTGTTTGTCGAAGACTGGATT